AACAAGTTTATTAAGGATATAGTCTTCATCAAAACATTCTGCCAAAGCACATTGAACAAAACTTTATACGAATCAATTTTAATACCTAGAAGACATTTTTCTCATCGATCTGGTAAAGAAAATGCAGAAAGACATATCGGAAAGCACAAAAATACCGTTATAAGATTATTACTACTTCTCATCAGGTTTACAAGAAATGTAATATTATTTTAACTTTATCTGGAAAATCAATCAGTTATGGAAGATAGCACAAAAATGTGGCTAAACAAATGCAACTCTTCTTTAAATTTTGAAGAAACTGTGACACCATTTAAAGAAATTATGGATGTCAAATCGACATCCTTTTTTCTCACTTTTCTACTTAAAACATATCATTATGATACCCTGGTTAAACAACCTCCCACCTGATATCTCAGCCCCCAGCACATTCCCTTCGAACATTGTTCAGGCCTTACTCCATAAACCCCTACAATACCTTTCACTTTACTTTAATGAGTGGGGCTCCGATCTCTCTATCAACCGCGGCTTTCGTGACCCCGGTCACAGAGTGTATCACTAGCACCCTCGCGCTTCCACGACAACCCTACCCCCTTCATCATCATCCAATTTCCCTGCTTTACGCCCTTGCTTTCTTACTTAGATGCATCTAGGTATTAAACCTCTTATTCTAACCTCTCTACTTTGATTACTGGAACTTCTACTTTACTGCAATATTCTCTATTCATTCCTAAAAGGTGGTTTTAATGGGTGGCTTTTGATGTTTTCCACATACACAACCAAAAAAAAAAACATTATGACATATAACAACTTAGGAGTTGAATATATATCTACTGCAAATAAATATAAAGTATATAGAAAACTATATACGTAAACACTATGAAACTATGAACCTATCTATACTTCCAGGTATTTTATCTAAACATTACAAATATAGTTGCTTTCTCTGCAAGTTTCTTAAATAAAAGTATATATCATAAAAAAGTTTTTTCGAACAGTAATGAACTACAACAACAGAAATTAATTTTATATTATTTTAATTAATTGAATTTTTGGCTGACTATACAGCTGTGCCAAATACCCATCATCAGTGGTCTTGGAAATAATTCTTGTATTTAATTATTCGTAAATTATTTTTTTAAACTGCAAATACCAGGAATCGAACTCATAAATATAAAGTATATAGAAAAGTATTTACATAAATACTCTGTAACTATGAAAGAGTTTCAAGTATTGTATCTGAACACTTGAAATATAGTTGTTTTGTCTTGGTAAACTTTTTAAATAAGAAAATTTCTGATGATAAATTTTAATACTAAGAACAATTTCATTCCCTAGATGGAATAATAGACAATATTTCTTTACGTAATTCATATCTTTTATCTCTATTTAATAAACATTTTTATGGTAAAATTGAATTATAAGGAGAATTGTTTACCTTATATGGAGCCATAAATGATGTTTTTATACGTATATATAATAATGTGTTAATATCTTTTATCTCTATGTAATCAACATTTCCATAGTGAAAATGAATACTAAAATTAATCAAAAAGTATTTCTAAAACTAACTAATAAGTCATCATATTTCAATTTATATCTCACAGTTGATCGGTCCTTTTGACTAATTCTTTCATTTCTTTCAATAATGCAGTTATTAAGAAATAGATTCATTCCGACCAAGAATTAATTGTCTCAATTAATATTAATTGAGAATTTATTTATAAATAAATGCAGATATAATCTAACGGCTAGAAACAGATTATGTGTGGTCTATTTAAATAAACTTTAAACCTACAGTGTTATTTGAAAAGAAATAAACAAAAATAATGGATAGATACACGCAAATTTAAATTATTTTTTATCAAGTTGATAAGATTTTTGAAACGTTATTTATTTTAAAAATTTAATAATCCATCTACACATTTGAAAGCACTTCCCAAAGCACAAATGTATCATCCACTGGCGGAAGTTTCAATTCGCAAGTTGTACTTCCGATCACGTGTCAATGTGCCGCCAATGCAGCCCGTTGCTTCCGGACGCGCTAGCTTCCGCATTAACGTTGTCATTTCGGTCGTTTTGCCAAACGGACCGCATTTGCTTAGCTTTTAGCGTACAGCTAGCATAGCTAATAGACCAGTGAGAACGCTGGTGACAATTACTACTCATGAATATATTTGAGCCTGAAAAATGTTTTCAACACAAAATAAATTGGCTTTATTTATGGTTTTATTTTGTGGTGATAAAAAGGCGCAAAGGACGATGATAGTGATGACTCGGCTGACACTCTAAAATAAGTTGCTAGTCCATTGTCCTTGCTGTTGACGTTGTGCCCGGCGCACGTTATCTGCTACACCCTCTTCACTGCTAACCAAAGCAATTTACTCATTAACTTTTTATCGTTCTAGCAAAAACTTTTCGCATTTACTGGTAATGGAAACCCTGGAATAGTGATGAATAGTTAAAGTGGTGAGTTGTTGTGATACTGTGACGAGTGACAAAGAGACAAAGCGACAGAGTGCGTTGTGTGCGATTTTTGCTCCTATTTTTATTGCTGTTTTCCATTTATTTAAATAGATTTCTTTTTTTTTCTATTCTATTTTGGAAAAATAGTTTTCATCACAAAGATGACAACCCTCTTCGTCTGACTTGGACGCTGTTTTCGATTACAGAAATTGTTGACGTTTGTGTTTAATGGCGCGGAAATACGCATATGCATAAACGCGTACGTACGGATTGGTGCTTATTTAAAACTCATAAAATTGCTAAATTGCTCGCCTTAATTTTTATTTGTTTTTCAAAATAAAATTTTAAATTAAATAATTTCAAATGTACGTACTCATTTCTACGCTTGTGGCGTTTTATGAGCTCAATAGACTCCGTGTTCGTTTTCGAGCACCACTGACTGTGAAGGCGGCTTATTTAAATTAGCTTAAATGCCTTAAAAATTAATTAGCAGCGATTGAAACCATTTGATATAGCCTACGAATTCATATCGAAACCCACTCGAATACACACACAGGCCTGTGTGCAGTCATTAAAATTGATGGACGGACACACAGCGTGACCCTTTCCCGAACAAATGATATGCTAAACTGCTGCATTGGCGCTTGCACATGTGAACAAGAAACTCAATAATGATGCGATTATCCAAAAATTACGGCTAACATCAACGATAAGAAAAACTGATGCGTTACGGCCGCGATCGACAACTTTGATAAAAATGGACAGCATGTAAGCACATGAGCCCATCAGTGTACACAAAGGGTTAAACCAGCAGCAGAGCGGAGTAAGACACTTGCACATGCACAGGTTAAGTATCGAACAGATACAAGCAAACATACATTGCTTGTATCTGGAATAGATATACACCTTTTCAATGCCAATTAAAGGCGCCGCAGTCAACGAAATTCGGCTTGAAAACATCAACTGTCGTCAGCAAATTGGCAGCGGCATGGCTTCTCTCGCTCCAGCCGCATTGATTAGGGGAACTACAAACTGAAAACATGTCACTAATCGTCATTGTTGCACACTGCACACAGCATACAGCATCGAATATCTGTGCGTTTGATCAAACCAAGAAAAAAACGTATGAGTGCGGGAAAAAAATCTGCAACGTTAAGATTTACGCTGATCGGCAACGATCCTCGACGCTTTCGGTGCACTGCTTTCAGTTGCCACCAAAACTTCATGGGCTGAAACAACAATTTCATTTGCAGCCGTTTTGATCAGTGATCTGATCTGATGCGACATGAGCGCGTTTCGTAACTACGCTCAATTAAGCAAAATAAAGAAGAAATCCTCTTTGGATTTGGATGTCATTTTGTATTTTGAAAACTTTACTTGACAAAAAATATTGCACAAAACACAACATCTTCAAGATTTTTATTGATGTGAGAAATTTTTTAAAGCAAATTAATTTGATTTTTGTGTATGGTTTAGAATAAATCAATTCAAGACAATTTTAAATGTGAACATAAAGAAAAATATAAGCTATATCCATCAAGACAATTATAACAATATACATATGATTATCTGAAAACCTTCCATTTAATAGAATTTTAAGCTATTCCAAAGGTTTGAAGTGATTTAAAACCTCTTAATTTTTCTCACTTAAACAGTAACACAATGGGGCAATAGGCATAAGTGGATCTCTTAGGATCGCCAGTACAACCTAAGCTAGCCTACATGATTATCTGAATAGCCTACCTTCTGCTCAAAAAGTACTCGGATTTTGTAAATAAAACACAAATTTAAATTTTATTCCAAATTTATTTTATCTCCTTCAAAATATGCTCCTTCTAAATCGATACACATATGCCAACGCTTAACCCAATCTTCCATACACTTTTCGTAGGCCCGTGAAGGTATGGCTTTTAGTTCCTTCAGCGAATTCTGTTTTACCGATTCAGTCGACTCAAAACACTTACCACGAAGGGGCAATTTGAGTTTTGGGAACAGGAAAAAGTCGCATGGATCCAGATCTGGCTAATATGGTGCCTGAGCGATGACAGTGGTGCCGTGTTTGGTCAAAAAATCGCGAACAACAAGAATTTTCCATAGTAAAAATCGCTAAATGCACTTGAGTTAGTCTCACATTAACAGCTGCTGTAAACAAAGTAATTGACAGATGGGGCTCAAATTTGTACTATATATCAAGAAAGGGTGTTTTGAAAAAGGTCTATTACTTAAGGAGTAGTTAACAAACAACAAAATCCGGTAATTTTTGAGCAGAAGATACTATTAATTTCTTAATTTATTTTCAATAAATTTTTTGATGCCCTAACCACTTCCAATTGAGGTGGTTGCTCCAGAAAACATCAAAAAAGTCCATAAATTGGTTATATCTGATCGTAAATTAAAATTACGTGAGATAGCTAAGCCCGTAAAGATATC